CTGGAGTAAAGGGCTTGCTTCAGATTTGATATTGGAGTAATTTGAAAGTCAGTGAAGTGTCTTGGGTTCAAAAGAGAAATTGGATGTACTTATTCTGATGTATTCCTAGGTATTAAATGGAAATAAGACTTGTATGTATTGTTTAACCTGAATTTATGCTTCACTGCACTGTATAGATTAATCATTTTATATTTTAAAGCAAGCTGAGATATTGGATGGAAGTAATGAAGAAGACGACGAAGATGATATCTTTGGGTTCATCACTGCTATAAATCTGACTGAAAGAAAGGTAAATACACCATGCTTAACTGAGTTTGTAAATTACTTTATATTCGTATTTGAATTTACATACAACTGATAACTAATAGAAATTAAGCTGGTTATTGCATGTTTTCTTCAACTGTTTTGAAAATTGTCTTCAGGACCAATGCATTTAATAGTGATTAAATACTGCGACTAATCTCTACATTTATGTTTATGTAAGTTGTTGAAATCGGAATCCTCGGTGTTTTGTCCTGAAGAAGGGCAATGGTGCTGTTCACCTCCTTTGAAGCAGACAAACCACTCTTAAATTTTTCCAAGCATTTTTGGGAATAGGAATTATGCCAGATGGCTCGAGAGTGACAAATGTTATGTCCGTGTTCAATTGGAAAGGATGGGGCAATAAATTATTGGTCATTTGGTTTTGTGGTCATTCTGGGTAAACTTCTAGAATTTGTTACTTAGGATGAAATTATTGAATTAGAAATATGGCAGTGAGCTGCAAATGTGTGAATTAGCAGGAGTAGTGCACTCAGCCCCCTGACCCTCCTTTGCTATGCAATAATGGTTGATCTGATTACTGTACATTCCCAGCCATCCTTGAATTCTTGGACACAAGCTAATTGAGAATAGTCGACAGATTTGTAAAGACAGGTAATGCTTAAACAATGACAATGAAGTTGATAGATATGTATGTTTTGTCATCTAAGAGGTATGTTACAAAAATGAGAACACATGGTATATATAGAAATGCTCAAGAAAGATCTAAGAATAGGGTAGATGGATTTTATTTTAACTTACTGAATAGTGATGCTCCCTAGGAGCCTCTGTAGGAATTTTTTTGTTGTCCTCTTTTACTGATTTTAAATATGTATATGGGAATTATCAAAATTTGCCAAATATCAGATGGCAAAGTGTGAGGAAGAAATTGTAATAAGATATAGTTTGGTGAAGTGACATGCATTTCTTTACTATTTATTCATAGGAGTTGGTATTGCTGTTTATCTATTATTTATTGTTCATCCCTAATTGCCCTGGAGAAAGTGGTGGTGAGTTGCCTTCTTGTAGGTTAATGGAGCGTAGGTATACCTGCTGTGCTGTTAGAAAGGTAGTGCCAGAATTTTGACCTGGCAACAGTGAAGGAGCAGTAATATATTTCCAAGTCGGGATGGTGAGTGGGAGGGAAAATTGCAATTGGTGTCCCCATTCTTGTCTTTCTAGGTTGCAAAGTTTGTGGGCTTGGAAAATGTTGTTGGTGGAGCTTTGCTGAATTATTGCAGTCCATCTTGTAGATGTTACACACTGCTGCAGTTGTGCGTTGGTGATGAAGGGAGTGAATGCTAAAGGTGTTGAATGACATGTTAACGAAATAGGTTGCTTTGTCCTGGATGATGTCAAACTTCTTGAATGATGTTGGAGCTGCACTCCTCAAGGCAAGTGAAGAGTACCATTCCTACTCCTGGTTTGTGCATTGTATATGGTGGGTTGGCTTTGGGAAATCCGGAGATGAGTTACTTGCTGCAGGATTCCTAGCTGTTGCTGTTGTGGCCGCTGTGTTTATATTGCTAGTCCAGTTTACTTTCTGGTCAATGGTAATCTCAGGATGTTGATAATCGGGGATTCAGTGATGGCAAAACCATTGAAAGTTCAGGAAATGGTGGTTAGATTCTCTTTTGTTGGAGATGGTTATTGCCTGGCATTTGTGTGTCATGGATATTGACACTTAGTCAAAGCCCGAATGTAATCTGGCTGATATGGATATGGACTGCTTTAGTATCTTGAGGAGTTGTGAATAGTGCTTGCCATCATTCAATCATTAGAGTACTCCTTGCTGCCATACTCAGTCAAATGTTACGTTGACAAGGGCAGTTACTTTCACTTCACCACTGGAGTTCAGCCCTTTTATCTATGTTTAGACCAAGACTGCAGTGAGGCCAGAAGTTGAGTGATACTGGATATCAGTGATCAGGTCACTTCTTTATAGCACTGTCAATGGCCCCTCTCATCACTTTTCTGCATAAGGATACTGATAAGGCAGTAATTGGCCAGGTCATATTTGTTTTGTTTTCTATGTTCAGGACAAACGTGGCCATATTTCCATTGTCAATAGATGCTAATGTTTGTAGTTGTGCTGGAAAGCTAGTTCTGAAGAGCAATCCTTCAGTACTGTGGCTATCAAATGTGTATCCGGTGTCTTCAACTACTTTTTGATATCATGTGGAGTGAATTGAATTGTTTTAAGATTTTGCATTTGTGATGCTGGGGACCTCTGAAGGAGGCTGAAATGGATCATCCACTTGATTAGGGGATATGCAGGATCGTGAAAGTTACAGACTGTGTTTGAAGACAATAGGTAGTAATCACCATGAGGTTTTCTTTCCCATATTTGACTTGAGCTAGCATGAGGTCTTGAGAGCTCCTGCTTGGCTATATACCACTGTCCCATCATCTCTACTTGGTCTGTCCTGCTGTTGGGACAGGATATAGTCAGGGGTTGTGGTGGTAGCATCTGCACTGTTGTCCCTAAGCTATAATTCTGTGAACATAATGTCAGGCTGCTGTTGCACAACTATTGAAACAGCACTCCTAATTTTGGCACAAGCTCCCAGATGATGTAAAGGGGAATTTTGTAGGGTCAACAGGGCTGTTCACAACTGTCATTTTTAGTTTCTAGATTGGTGCCACATGGTCTGTCAATTTCATCCTTTTGATTGGACATCATGGAAGTTTGCTACAATGGAGTGGCTTATTAGGTCACTTCAGAGGATAGTTAAAAGTTAATCACTTTGCTGTGGGTCTGGAGTCACTTGCAGGCCACATGCAGTAAGGAAGATTCCTTTTCCTAAAGGGCATTAGTGAAAAACTTCATTGAATATGATGTGTAAACTTTGAGAATAAGAACTGTGCATACAACAACACTGTTTGAATGGTCAGATTCTCAGTAATTAGAAGAGGAGTGATTATCATTGTGAGCCTTTTAATGACAATGCATGTTGAATAAAAACCATATAGCAAATTAATTAAAATCAATGCAATTCTCAGTTTTGAATACAGAGGCATTGGACAGAAAAATAAGGAAGTGATGCTGAATTTTGTAATAGGTGTTAGTAATCACCTACTAAGAGTTCTGCAATTCTGGGCCCCCTCATCAGAAAGATATTAGACGTTCATAGAAAAAGTAATGAGGCTTGATGGAAATGATCTGGAATTAAAACATTATAGATGAAGATTGAAGTGGAATCCAGTTGAAGTTTTCAAAACTTTGAAAGATACTGAGCAAAATTAGTGAAAGTTAGGATCTACTGTTTGACAAACACAATAAGAGGTCACAGATTCAGATCATTACCTGATTAATAAAAGAAGAGGTTTAAAAAGAATTTTAATAGAAGGCATTTCGAATATGGAATGTTTTTTCAAAAGTCACTTTAAAGGCAATGATTAAACATAATTTTAAATAGTTTCATCCTGTGCTGAAAGATAGAAGTTGAACTGCATCTCAAGGCAAAGCTTTAATGCAAATTGAATCTTTATAGTTTGATATCAAAATCTTCTAATGGGCCTAAAATATTTGTAGTCCTTTAATGTCTTTGAGCATGTGGTAATTTTGCTTCCTCATTTAGCTGTTTTTGACACTCACTTTTTATATAAACAACTGCTTTTGTGCTTGAGATTCAGCTGCTCCATGTTTTTGGTTTCATACTGAATCTGTGGCACAATAGGTGTAAATTCCTATCGTACATATTAACAAACCTGGAGTTTGTTGCAAGTTAAAAGAAGGTGGTTTTATGCAGTCCAAGGTCATCAACAAGCAAGTTCAGAAATTAAATATTGGAAACTTAAACTGTCATGAAATGCATTGCGATAAAGAAATAACATGAGTGCAGGACAAAATGAATAGTTAGGCTTGAGGAAACAATGGGAAGTAGATAGAGAATTGAGGACAGTTTGGAGAAAACTGTATGAAGGAGTAAGATGGATGCACTGAATATTTCATTTATATTAATTTTCTTTATTACATCTGTGTAGTTAGGTAATTTTTCCTTTTTAAATATTTTGAGATAATGCACTTTACCGGTGTAAAGTACAACTAGCATGAGAAACCACATCTATATTTTTCCGTAATTCGGAACAAAATTAGAATGTCATGAAATAAAAACAAAGTTCTGGAGAGAGCTTAAGTTGTAAAGTGGAATCTTATTAGACTGAACAATAACTGTTGCTCTGTCCACTGCTGCCAAACCGGAGATTCTCCAGCGTTTTTTGTTTTCATTTTAGATGTCTGGCATCTATTGTACTTTGCTTTAGTTGAGAATGGCATGATATGCTTTAAGCGAAGAGAAATTCAATGGTAGCAGGTCGATGTACGGTATTCATTAGAAGCAGTTATGCAACCATATAAAAAGATATATTATAATTAAAAGTGTATCTAATCAAATTGATTTAAGTTCATTTGTGGGTAGGATTTACTTGAGCTGCATGAGTTGGGAAGTTTGAATTTAAATAAATAAATAATAATAAAAAAAATAAATAATATAATATTTCTCTTCATACAGATTTCCTTAATAGTTTTCAGAATAAACTTGCTGTTTCTTCAATTTGACAGTGACAATAAAATTTTCAAGCCACTAGATATTGAACAATAGCTGCTTTGCTGTCATAGCCTTTTTCAGTAGCATCAATGATATATTTGTGAGCTTATCTGAAAAGTGTGTACTTTTTTTTTTGCTACTTTTTTATATCATTGTGAATTAGTTTTATGTTGAGGCACAGTGTAAATCAGTATGGCTAACTGATTTATTTCTGTGATCTTTAGGGAATGGAGTCTGTTGAGCAGATTAAAGAATTGGTTCTGAGCCAGTGTGAGACTCATCACCAGGGTACAGCTGAGCAGCTGGACAAAATACTAAATGACAACAGCAAGCCAGTGAGCTTTCTCATCAGTGAACGCTTCATCAATGTGCCACCACAGATCTCTCTGCCCTTACACAAACAACTCCAGTAAGTACCCCATGCTGAGCTATTGTTGTTATAAAAGGCTTGTTTGTGAACAATCCAAGGTCAGGGTGGGGTTGTTGGCAGAAACATGTTAGAGTTTCTAATCCAGTGACACAAATTAGTACAATAAAGTTGGCTAAAAGTTTCCCTTAAACGAGATGAGGCCCTCATTAACAGACAAAGTATTGGTTCATATTTGGAATAAACGGTCAAAAAAATTGTTGCTCATTGCATACACTTGTACTCGTACTTGCTAGTATATTATGCATTCCACAAAAGGTTGGAGGCAGATAGGACCAGTATGGTAGACAGCCTAAATCTACAGTTTGAACTCAATTCCTCACAGTTCTTGAAGATATTGCATTCAGTTCCCTCATCTAAATCATTAATATGTATTGTGAGTAGCTGGGGTCCAACCACGAATCACATCCTCTGGCTCCCCCTGGTAGGTCTCCAGCATTGTTACTAATTTGATTTGCCCGATCTATATGCAGATTAAAGTCCCTTTTTATTGTTTGCGTCTCTAATTTCCTGTTTATTGCCTTCACTGACATTACCATTGCAATTTGGGGCTCAATATACTACCACGATCATTTTCTGCCCCTTGGTGTTTGTAAGCTCTACCACTAGATTCCACTTCCATTAGAGTTAATATCCTTCTATTGCATTAATTTATCATTAACTGACAATGGATCCTATCACAGCAGCTAGTGAAGTTTTGTTTTTTTCTTCAACTAGAGTACAGCGAATCTGTGGAACTCATTGCCACAGATGGCTGTGAAGGCCAAGTCATTGAGTCTACATAAGTCAGAGAGAGTAGTTCTTGATTAGTGAGGGGATCAAAGATTACAGGGAGAACAGAGAGAATGGGGTCGAGAAACATATCAGCCATGATTGAATGTTGGAGCAGATCTGGTGGGCCCCCTTTCAGCAGTATTCGTGACTCCTCGGGTACTGAAGCAGTCCGTCTTCAAATGCAACAAGATCTGGACAATATCCAGGCTTGGGCTGATAAGTGGCAAGTGACATTCCTGCCACACAAATGCCAGGCTATGACCATCGCCAATAAGAGACAATCTAACCACCACCCCTTGACATTCAATGGTGTTACCATCACTAAATCCCCCACTATCAACATCCTGGGGGTTATCATTGACCAGAAACTCTTACTCACCACATAAACACAGTGGCTATAAGAGCAGGTCAGAAGCCATGAATACTGCGGTGAGTAACTCCCCTCCTGACTCCTCAAAACCTGTCCACCATCTATAAGGCAGAAGTCTGGAGTGTGATGGAATACTCCCCACTTGTCTGGATGAGTGCAGCCCCAACAGTACTCCAGAAGCTTGACACCATCCAGGACAAAGCAGCCTGGTTGATTGGCAGTACATCAACTCCCTCCACCACTGAATGCTCAGTAGCAGCAGTGTGTACTATCTACGAGGTGCACTGCAGAAATTCACCAAAGATCCTCAGACAGCACCTTCCAAACCCATGACCGCTTCCATCTAGAAGGACAAAGGCAGCAGACAAATGGGAACACCACCACCTCCAAGTTCTCCTCCAATCCACTCACCATTTTGACTTGGAAATATATCACTGTTCCTTCACTGTCGTTGGGTCAAAATCCTGCGATTCCCTCCCTGATGGCATTGTGGGTCAACGTACAGCTGGTGGACTGCAGTGGTCAAGAAGGCAGCTTACCACCACCTTCTCAAGGGCAACTAGGGATGGGCAAGAAATGTTGGCCAGCCAGTAATGCCCACATCCCATAAATGAATAAAACAAAAGGCCTAATTCTGCTCCTACATCTTACAGAATCATAGAACCCCACAGTGTGGAGGCAGGCCATTCAGCCCATTAAGTTCACTCAGACCCTCTGAAGAGCATCCCACCCACCTTATGCTGCCCCACTTCCTTTTCCTCTGTCTACCCTTCCTTAAACATTCAATTTCCATCTTGGTCACCTTGCAGCCATGTCTGTAATCCCAACAATATCATACTGTTAATACCTATATGTATGAACAATTCATCCACTTTATTGCAAATGTTCTATGCATTACAATGCAAGGTCTTAAGGTTTTTCATTTTAACATCCTTAGTCCTGTTTGCATTATTTTGTACATTGGCCCTGTGAGTTTTTTGCCGTTGAATTCTCTGCCTATCCCTTTTCATATTTTTCATTCTATCATTTGTTTTTGTCCTTGTTTCCCACTCTTCTGTCATCTTTTTATGGGTTCCCAATTCTCCCCTCTCCTAGTTTAAAGCCTCCCCAACCACATGAGCAAATACTCCTCCTATGATATCAGTTCTGATACTGCCAAATGGAACCCACCTTGCTCATGCTAGTCCCACCTCCCCCAGGGCATGTCCCAATGTTTTAGAAATCTGAAATTTTCCTCCTTTCACCATTTCACCAGCCACACATTCATCTGGTTATGTGCTGCTATTTCTACTAGCATGCAGCACTAGTAACAATCCTGAGATCACTACCTTGAGAGGTCCTAATTTCACTTATTTCCAAACTCCCCTAAAGTTTGCTTTTTGGAGCTCATCCCTTTTCTTTAATCTATATTGTCGGTGGATACGTGCCACAACCACTAGTTGTTCACCCTCCCACTCAAGAATGTCCTGTAGCCACACTGTGACATTCTTGACTCTCACCTGAGAGGCAACATGCCATCCTTGAGCTCATTATGACCACAGTAGTGTTTATCTATGCCCCTTATGATTGAATCCCCTATTACAATAGCCTTCCCACACTTATTCCTGTTCTCCAATGCAGCAGACCCAAATGTGATACTATGAATTTAGTTTCTGCGACTACTTTCCTCTGAGAGGTCATTTCCCCTCACTTAACAGTATACAAAGTAGTCTACCCATTTGCAGCAGAATGTCCATAGTGGACTCCTGCAGTGCCTGTCTGGTCCTCTTTCTATGCCTGATAGTGATCTATTCGCTCCCTGCCTATGGAGTCCTAGTCTGTAGAATGACCATTTCTCTGCATCTGCTATCTGTCCATGTTGACAGATGTGATGTGCACATCATGGGAACAAGTATTCAGGAATTCTTGATGAAGTGGAAGACCAAAGGAATCTATCGTTACAATTATGTAGATCTTCTAGAAGTAGGTGATCAGGTAGGATGTTTGTTTTTTTTTGAAAAGGTGAATGAATTTCCCATAGGTATCCTCTTTTTAGGCTCTAGGAATATATTATATCCGTGGGTGTGCCTGTGTCACCCTGAGAATCTGCATATATATGGTTCAGTAGATGTTTGGGATGTTTCTGCTAGTCACCATAGCTTTGCGTTGAAGAGAATCTTTTGAGATCTATTTGCAGTTTTTTTTTTGAATTGCATATTATTTTTGGAGATGGAATGAGGTGGTATGGAAATGATATAGGGGACGTGGCTCCTGCAGAATTTATCCAGTAATCGTATGGAACAGGTTTAATGAATGAACTTGCTTCCCTTCTGTCATGGTTGCAAGAAATAAATCCGGTATTGCTGGAATAAGGACTGTTGTTTTGAAGCTTAAGAAATTGTCACACTATTTATACCTCACCCAATGTGCTGGCACTGTGTGACAAAATTAAGATGTTTCATTTTGTACAACAGCAGCAGGATAATGCCTGATCCAGTTAACTGATCGATGTTTACGTAAACTTGCATTTATGAAAAATACTCTTTCGAAAGCCTTTTCAACAGGTAGGACAGGTGTTGGTCTTTTAGCCCTATAAGCAATCATGGCTGACCTGTAGCCTAATTCAATATACCCACCATTGCCTCATGCCTCTGGTAGATTCTTGTTAACCAAAGTCTGATCTAATTTTAAAATTGGTATCCCCTTGGGAGTGTGGAAGGCATTTGCCCAGGAATACATGAGAAGAATCTATGCAGGGAATCTTTTAATGTAGGGAGACTGTTGCACGGTAGCTGTCACACAGTTCTGACTGACTTTCCTACCCTGTGCCAGAAGCACATCAGAAGAATTTATAAGTTAATAATGAACCTGTTTATTATGGATGCATCTTCCTTTACCACCAGTTCATGGGCTGAGACTTGAATCATGGGTTACTGGCTCAGAGCCAATGATGCTACTCACTGAGCCACAATACCTGTGCCCAACCAGCGGAAATTAGTTTTTTTTCTTCTAACTTATCTGTTGCCCTTAATATCTTTAAAACTATGATGACATCATATTTTAACCATCGAAATTTTAGGGAATACAGCCCGGGTTTGTGTAGTCTCTTCCCCTAATTGAATGTTATACACTTAATTCTGTTCAAAGCCAGTATATCTTTAAGGTCTACTTAAGGATTCTTGTGGCCCAGTCATACTCTCCCAACCTCTGAACCGGAAGACCGAGATTCAAGTCCCAGAGGGCACTTAACAACATCTCTGCACAAGCTGATTAGATAATATCTATCCTTAAGGTGTGTTGCCCAGAACTGTTCAAGGTACTGGAGGTGTAGTCAGTCTCTCTGGACCTTCAAAAGCCCAAAAACATATTAGCTAATGATATTGCTGTTGAGTTGAACTAAGGCTGAAGATGAAGGAGAACTTAACGTTTTGAACCATATTGGAGTTGATTGTTGTTTATCTGTACCGTAAAGCTAATTACTTGGCAAACTGAAGCACAATTCTTCTACTTTAACATACTGCTTTCATGGAATTTTTCATATTTTGATTTCAATACTATTTTGAATATGTTTAGGACTGAATTGATGGATGCCCACAAGACCAATAAGCCTTGTGGCAAGAGTCATTATTACCTTATGATCAGCAAGACCTGTATGGAAGTGGGAAAAAAAAATGTGCCACAACAAAAGGGCAAAGTGAAAGAAGAATTAATGTTTACAAATGCAGAAGAGGAATTCTTTTATGAGGTGAGTTTCTCCCACCCTCATCCCCAAAAAAAATACAGCAAACTTTTTATTAACCGCCACCTATGGGTCCACCAGCAGTGGGCCAGTTGATCAAGAGGTGCACATAGTCAATGTAAAAACAGACACTAAGTCACAGAAATGTAATGCAGGGATATACACGTGACTGTTAAACTTTATTTACAGAATAAATCACTTAAATAATGTAACTTTGCCTTAAATAAAACTTAACGGCAGCAAGCCTTCTCACTCGCACCTTCACTGACTACTCAGACATCACTGAGATTGTGATAATATAGTAAAATTCTGGTATGTCAGGTATATAACTTCTTGCCAGTTTATTGAGAGTACTGGTTATTAAAATGCTGGTCAAAACAGATTGCTGTATTTGGTATGATATCAATTATAACTTGATTCAATTCCTTGCTAAGCTTATCAAAGTAGTTGTAGAGGTTTTTGTTTAAATGAAGTCTGCTAATAAAGGAAAAGTATTGTGATGTGTCTGCTATGGTTTAAACTTAAATGTATCACTTATTTTATTGAATGTTGTATCTTTTAATTTGACTTCCCTGTTCTAATTATCTGCTTTCATTTTAGCAATCTGTTATAACATACAGCTACTCTGTGCAAGAAGAGAGTGACAGCTCTCTGTCTGGACGCTGGTCTTTTGATGACGTACCTATGAAACCTCTTCGAACAGTTATGCTAATTCCTGCTGACCGAATAAATGCAATTATGAACAAACTCGAAGAACACTTAACAATATAATGAACTGAAACTACAGAAATTATCCACTTTGGACAAAGAGTTTCAAGTTGTAAATATGTGGTTACTTTATCCCATTAATTTGGTATTTTAATGAAAAGATAAATCTTTTGAAATAGAAATAGAAATATAAAACAATTTCTTGGTTTGTTCTCTTTTATTTAGACAAATGAGTATTAAAACTTTTAAAGTAATACATTTGACCTAAAATTTAACCAGAGTAAAATCCATGAAGTCAGCTTTAAAGAGTATTAAAGCCTTGAGAGTTCCTGGAGATGTTTTATGTGACGTTTTACCACAACATATAAACATAAGCTTTGGCCCTTTATTGTTCTATTGAATTATTTTTTGCCCAGTCTAGTAATTGTGCAATTTAGTCCATCATTGAATGACACATCTGTCTTCATTCTGGTGGCTAAGATCTTCTTGCTTGTTTTCTTTGTTGGATACATGCTGCTCCTCTCCATCTGACAGTTTTGAGAAGTGATCAATGATTTCCTGTAGGAGTTCCTTACTCTCACTAGGGGGTAGGTTGGTGAAGTAATACTGAGGAGCCAGCTGTACAAACCTATAGGAGAAACAAAGAATGTCAGATTAAGAACCTGTTGTAAAATAAGCCTGCCGTTTTGTTGCTGTGCTTTTCAAAACTGCATTTTTGCATCAAATGTTGAACAAAGATCCAAAAACACAGCACAGCCAGCTGTGTTTGACCTCTTCAGTTGCTGAAAAATTCAGCTATTCATATATATTGCTCAGTCAAAAGGAGAACTTTTAACATCAGAACCATATTGCTACCAGAATCAAGGCTCACTGCAGACTGGTGTAGCTTCAAGGCTGACCAAAAATCATTTGGAACATTACTGAAGGTCTTCCTGAGAGTCCGGATGGTTATTATCCAGAACATCTGCAAAGCTTCAGATAGTATTGATGTAAATTAACTCATGACTGTAATGGGAAAATAATTGGTGTGGAGTCATACAAAACGAGAATGCCTCTGTCAGATTCTGTTCCAAATAAGATTTTCAGTTTTTAAGCACTTAATAGGAAACCATGGGCAAGGGCTTAGTTTTCTCATATCTCTTTTTTAATGCAATTTTATATTAATTTAACAGTTTCATTTGCTAGATGTGCCAGTTTTTTTTTTGTTGTTCATACTTGCTAATGTCTTAGATTGCTTTTATTACTACATACCATGTCTGATTTAAGCTTATCCAAGTTAGAATTACCAGTGGCTAAATTACCAGTGACAGAAAACAGGTGGAGCTGGGAAAATAAGAGGAAGTGAGGGAAAAATAAGTTATAGACAGTCACACTAATTCAATTTTCCTCTTATTCTAATGTTAAGCATTGTACGAGGAAAAGAAAGGGTAAAGCAGAGCTTGGGTAGGACATTGAAGAATATTTGGAGGATGTAGAGAGAGGCGTAACAGATATGTGCTGAAATGTTCAGCTGATAAAACTACTCCAAGGGTGCTATGAAAAGAGACTTGAAATCTGTCCACAGATGCTGCAAACTTGCTGAGTTTTTGGAAACCTGGTTGGCATGGACAAGTTCGGCTGAAGGGACGGTTTCTTATCTATATGACTCTGTCATTTTGAAAGGAAATGGTTAGAGGCAAGGTGCTTTAATTTGGATTGCTAATTAACTGATGAAGGAAAATTCCAACTTTTAAGAGTGGAAGCAGATTTTACTATAATTGAAAAATAAGGATTAAGTGTTTTAAAAAAAAAATTAAAATTTACCTATGGTATTTCTCATAATTATTGCTCAAAATGATGTTCCATTAGGAGAAAAACTTTTTTTTGTTCTGAGGTAGTCATGCGTTTTAAGATTGAGGGAATATTTATAAACCATACCAGTTTCACTATCTGATTTTGTATCTTTTCAAACCCTTGATAGTAATTTTGCCATTTGATTGTGCAGATTAACTGACATCTGAAGGCAACAGGAATTTAAGGCATTCAGTTATTAACCATGTTTTATAATCAAGATTTTTAAATAGTCCTTTGTTTGGACTCTGAAAGAATTTAATGAAGGTACACTTACATTTCAGGTGATACATCTGAAACGATTCTGATGCAGTTGTTCTCAGATATTGTAAATTCATGGAACAAAACCCATTCTGGTTTTAATTTTGTGGAAGAGTAGCTTGAGAAAGGGTGCAGCTGTGCTACATGTTTATGGGTTAGCATGACATAGTTTCCCAATCCATCAACGTCTCGAGCTGTCTGGAAATAGGAATGTTATATTGATCTAATGAAAGCTTGTACAATTGCAAACTGTATAACTAGAATTCCCTGCACTATCAGTATGTGATGTACAAGTAACAGTAAAGCAAGTCTATAGTTTCTGCAATGGGAGGATTCTTGCATCAATTCTCAAATGGTAATTTGGCGTCTCAAAGTTGAGCAGTATTCAAAGCCACTTGATGAGTGAAGAATTTGGCTGCTTATTGATTGGACTTTTAAGAAAATAAACAACTGATGACCCGTAACATAACACACAGTAAGCAGAACAACACATTGCAAGAGTCTAGAGAAATACAAATATTTCTATTGTCCTTGATCATTTGAGGACATTGCAACTCTTCACAATGCTGTCTTATACTTTTACACACAGTCTCAATTCAGAAGTCAGAATCAGTTACAAAACAATGGTGAAAGATATTCCCAAAAGTCCTCACCTGCATGAAATAACCAGATAACAAAGCTCTTTTCACATTCAGTGAATTCTTGTGTGTACCAAAAGCAAGTTTTGAAATGGGTAACTCAATGCGTTGCATAATGTCCAGTAGGTCAGCTCGGATGGCATCTGCTGTCCTCAGAGCAGAGCAATTCAAGAAATTGTCATAGCACCACTTTTCATCTTCACAGACTGCACAAGAGTAAAACAAAATTAACTTCAACAGCAGGATTTTTTGTGTTTTTAAAACAGTATAAACAGAAGATGGATAGGAGTAAAATCAAAGTATTTTTTATGAGTTTCAAAATAAGTACTTTCTTATCAAAACTAGAATTTAAAGAGAAAGCTTTATGCAAGAAAAATTTTCCAACAGTTAACAAAGATCCCCCTCAACTGTGTTCCTCTGATTTTAAAGTTTACTTACATTGGTTTGATGACAATAGCTTGTTCTGCTTGTATGCATTGTAAACATTTATAAGGGTAAAGTGATCACCCTCTGGATGCAAAAATTTCCTTCGACAAGTGCATGCAATTTCTTCTGCACCAGGAGGTGGATCCAAGAAACAAAAGGGAGCTTTACAAAGAGAAAACACAGGAAACAATTACAACAGTAGCTTTTAGGTGTAATTTATCATTAGTGATTCTACTGAAATATATTGGAAGCTTTGTGTAAATTTGAGAAAGTACTTAAATATTCAAAACTTGAAATATGTTCTATGAACATTTCTACATGAAAATCTAGCAGACATTTGAAATGTCTAATGAAAGCAGATGTCATAAACAAATACTAATGAATGCAAATTCTTGAACATTTTAAAGAAGAATTGAGTTTTTAAGGCTGAGAGTTATGTCAGTGTACATGGTAAAACAAAACCTGAATGTCATGGCTATGAATATGCCAAAAAAGTACAAAAATATAACGAGTTGCCCAAGTACCTGTTACCATGGCAGCTATTGTTAACATTTCTTGCACACAGTCAAATTCACAGGATGCAACAAGAGCTTTTGCCATTTGGGGATCCAGTGGGAACTCTGACATAATGATTCCAATTTCTGACAGATTTCCATCGTCGTCCAGGGCTGCTAGGTAATCAAGGTCTTCTAATGCCTGCATCAAGGCTTCAGGGGCTGGTGGAAAAGGCAATATAATTGTTCATTATGTAATGACTAATTTGTTTTAAATTTTATACAGTGTAGAATGTTTTATGAGAATAATTTATGTTCCCAAACCGAGACCCAAGATATCTAACTACGTTATTTAAAGTGCAGCTTCCTTGAACCTAATTGCTGGGGACAGGGGGAGATCTGAGAAAATAAGCTGACCAACATACATTAGGCAATGCATGCATCTCGTCTTTTTTTTCTAAAAAAAATTAAAAATTTCATTTTCTACAACTGTTCAGAATTCTAGTAATTTGTTTCTTCTCTGAAACAATCTTTGCAATTACTAGATAAATTAGGTTATTTAGTGCAGTTGTGTTGGAAAACAATTTTTTTGGCCACTGAATACAAACAAGTTGCCAAAGTACAGCTGATTGTGTACAATTTATGAACCTACACAAACGTTTCTAATTTCTGCTGCATTTAACAATCTGAAAGATTTGGCATATGTCATAATTGGAGCATACAGTACATGCTCAGCCATCCTTGATGGAGCAAGCCAGTAGATTCCTAACAATGGCTTTAGTACTGCTCTGTCAATTAGGGTACAAATAACAGCATGTAGATTTTCATAAAAGGCAACTTTTTAAATAATCCAGAACAGACTCTAAAACCAATCTGTTTAAATCAAGAAACAGTGCTTTTATAGACTTAAATGTACTGTATATAATTTTAACTTTGAAACTTGCAACTGTTCAAAATTTCTGATTTTAGGCATTGTGTCATGTTTTGACAATGTGGAAAGAGACAAAGGATTTGTTCAATACAAAGTTGTATTGTGGAAATGGAATTCATAAAAATTGCAGAGAAAGCTAAATGCAGCCATCAGAAGTAAAATACAATGCAAACACTGTGACATTATGTGTTGTGAGATTACAGTAGAATGATATACATGCAGCTGAAATATGCTTTGTGTATCAATCACCATTTCATGTTTAAAGTTTTTCAGGTGAGATTATCTTTCATTGCAAACAAAAATCAAGATTTAGATATAAATTATTAGCAATATATTTGTATTGTCTAAAAATGATAAATTTATTGGGATTTATGGATTACTTAAATTTTAGCTGCAGAAATTAAGTTGAGGTTTCAGAAAGGTTGCATAACTCATTAGAACTGGAGAACTTTAAGGCAAATTTTGATATTTTAAACAAGTTGACATCTCATATTCACTTCAGAACTGGATCATTTCACTGATTTGATGCATATTTTACCTGTAATATTACCTGGCTTATCAATAAAGTCACACTGCCCCATGTCTGCTATATCCATTCTTTTCAGGAATAAAACCATGCGAGTAAGATTGGATTCCAGTACACAAGGTGGTGAAAGCTCTGTCATCTCTTTGTTCAGAAACTCTTCGGTGTATAATCGGAAACATTTGCCTTAAGCCAATTAGAATAGCTCAGTTATACAATTTGAAGTTTATTTTTATGCAAAATGAAGGCTACAATAACAGTTATTATAAAACTTAAGGCAAAAGCAATGTTTGTTTGATGAAGTAGAGAAAATTCCAGACCTTCAAATTTCTTTATGCTTATTTCTTCGCACCAAAGAATCAGAATGTTATCCTGACTTATTCAATAAGAGATTTTATTTTACATATTTTTAGATCCACCCCAATATTGCTAGTAACTAATTTTACCTCACCCCAAACGATTTCGCTGGTGTTACAGCAAAAAGAGTAGGGGATTTTAGTTGTGATGGGTAGCATGTTGGCGTAGGCTTGGAGGGCTGAAGGGCCTGTTCCTATGCTGTAATTTTCTTGGTTCTTTCGTTTCTTTGAGTACAAAGAATAAACAATGCCACCATCAATCACTTCCATGTCTTGCACAAGAAGCTTTAGAGTAAAAGTCCCTTTCATTCAACTACAACATAAGGGTATCATCTGCTCTTTTATTGAACTAGTTTCAGTAGGTAGAGTTTCTAGCATTTGATTGATTTAAGTATACCATCTCCTCTAAAACACTATCAAATGATTACAGAAATGTTACCCAATCTAGCTGTGCCCCCGCTCTGTGTGCGCATCTCAGCCTGTATTTTGCTGATGGGTCGCATCACTAAAGAATCTGCTCGTATTCTTGGATTGTAAACCTACGATTAAACAGTGAACAAAATTACAGTCAATAAATAAAAATGAAGAAAGACTAAAAGAGAGGGAGACAGTGAGGCAGCATTGTTTGGGCAGCTGGATATCCAACAAGAACAAAGCTACTTTAAATAAAGCTGTTGAGAAATTCACACAAGTAGAAGATCTCCTAATATGCAGTACACATACACACTCTTCCCCTAGCAACATATTCAGCATGCCATGACTCAGGAAATTAAGGCTCCTGTCAGATAAAACCCAAGTATTTGGGACTTGAGGGGCTGCTGGAGTTTAATCAGCTGAAACCATTCAGTTTTTCAGCATATGTCTATCAGCTGCCCATGACTTATTACCATGGACTACTTCACTTGTTTCCAAGGTACTGTTTTAACAGGAGCTTGGAATAGTAAGAACATTCACAAAAATCTCTTAAGATTTCTAAGGCCACCATTAAGACTTGACATAGTTTGTAAGCCATTTGTTTACCTACTTGTAGACCAGTAAACTGCCAAATAACTAATTTACAAAAAAAGACTTTCTTAGCATTCCAGTGGTAGACGTGTAACATAGTACAATTTATTAGTCTTGATACACAAAAATATCTCTTCACTTTTCAAAAAAATATTTCCAGACAACGTTAGCATCATTTTCAAACTGTGGGACTTGAACGTTTTTCAGTGAGTTGCAAGGGTTGACACACCTAGAAAATGAGTTTTTGGTGATAGCTGATCCAGATTTTCAAACGGGGGATATATGTCAATTAAATAAAACTTTACAAGAAAATGAATTTTGAACATGCTTCTCTTTATAGGTTTCTCTCATCAGAATTCCACAAGTATTTGTTTCCCATTTCAGTCTGACTCTCCAAAGTTGCTCACTCACACATGGGCTCCTGCTACAGCAGTCTGGCGCTGGATGGAAATCCTGTCACTTCTTCATTCTATACGTCTCTGCCACCCCAAAAATTTTGAATAATTTCAATCATAGATTTTTTTGAATACTCAAAATATAAATTCTGAAGAGAAGGTCTCGCGGAACAGTATGTATTGTCTCTGCCTGTGAGCAAGAGGCTCTAGTAACAGAGGCAATATGAACTAAAGGGAACAATCCCAGAGGGTGTGCAGGAGCAAAGGAACATGGAGGGATATATATTTAAAATAGCAGGACAGATTGAGAGAGCACGCTTAATAAACCGTAAAGTATTTTAATATTGTGGTCAAAGGAGTTATGACTTTACAGTCTACTATGATGACGCATATTTTAAAAAAACTAATGTGACTGACTAGACACAAAAGAGCAAAAAAAAAGTTACAAGTCACCTGACTACACAGCTACAAATATTAATGGATTCCAGAGAGTCATGTCTGGACATGTATAGGTTCTTGAAATACTAGGTTCTTGAAATACCAGGTGCTTGGGTGCAAGAAGTCAAGCATCAGAGAGAAACAGCAGACAGGAGGAAAAACTTAAAAGTGACTCAGCATAATTGACTTCTTCCTTTGTACATCCCAATATTCCTTAAATCTAACATGCAATCATTTTTGACCAATGAACTACATACAAAAAAGACCTCTGAACATCCACTATGTAGAACTCCAAGTAGAAGGCTTTGAGAACTACCCTTGGGACAGGTTTAACCAAAGAGAAAAGGTTAACAGAAACCAACTACTGTCCTATTGAAGGAAAATCAGGCAGTGTGAAAGTCCCAAAAGCATAGAACTAATGAAGAACAAGGAATCTTCTCTCCCTCCCAAATTCTGGTGGCCCATCTACAATAAACCACAAACTATCCAACGATAGCAGCCCTTAAAGCTGCTGGATCTGATTTAATGAGCTAACCTCTTTGTTTCAGCACAAATACCTCAAACAAAGAGCCCTAACCATACACCACATAGACATACTAGAATTTTCTTCATGCAAGTAATCTTCAACCTGAATTGTACTTGTTTTAATTTTGGTACCTGTAATTTTGTTAATAAATCTATTTCTTTATCCCTGGGGAAACTTCAGGAATAGCTTGTAGCAAACTAACCGTTAAACCATTAAAACAAAAGTTTTACTGCTGGTCTGTTTTAACTTGGATCATTACAAATTAAGAAACGAGGCACAAAAGCTACATTAATCTACAGTTCACTGATTACATGGTGGACATTGAGTATAAGACAAAGAAGGTTATAGATAACTTGTATAATAGGATTCTAGTTCAGCCTCAGTTGGAGTGTCACATCCAGCTCTGAGTGTTGCACTTTGGAAGGTTATGAAGACATTGGAGAGTGAGTTCACAAAGGATTCCTAAGAATAGTTCCATAGATGAGGAGCTTCAGTTATGAAGACAGATTGGAAAAGTTAGTCTCTTATTCCTCAGAGAAAAGAAGATGAAAATGATTGGGCTGGGAAGAGTGAACAGGGAGAAACTTCTCCCTTGGGACCGAGAGGACGCAGATTTAAATTAATTGGCTAAAGCAGCAAAAGCAATCTGGAGAAAATCAAAGTCAGACAGTGAGTGTTTTAAGATCTGGAATGCACTGCTTGACAGTGGTGGGCACAAGTTCAACTGAGCCATTCAAAAAGAAATTAGACTGTTATCTGAAAAAGGAAGACTTATAGGGATTTATAAGCTTATAGGGAGAAGGTGGGAGAATGGAACTAAGTGAAAGCTGGTGCAGACACAATGGATCAAATAGCCTCCTTCTTCACTTACAATTCTGTGATTTCCATTCCAGAACTTGATAGCCAAGAAAGGTGTGTTTATTATGTAGCCAAATAAGTGTTAATTTTTTTCAATATACACCAATAAAAGTGGGAGGGATTCCCAGTCATTCATGTAATGGAAAGGAAATTGGAGGCTCTACTGTTGCATTTTTAGTTTCGGCACTACAACATGCATTAAAAGTGCAAGCTGCCACACCACCTCGTAAATGGGAGTTGGTTGGCTCGGTTGTCTGAATGGCTGGTTTGCACCAAACAACACCAACAGCATGTGGTTGGATCCCCGTTCTAATGGGGATGGACTCAGGACCTGACTTCTTGCCCTATGGCATGCAGTGATAATGGTGTATCGGTTGGATTTGCCTTTGGGTGGAGAACTGAAAAAGAAACACTGAAACCACCTTCTCAAGGCAATCAGGGAGACAGGCAAAAAATGCTGGCCAACCAGTGATGCCCATGTCCCATGACAAAATAAAAAAGGGAAAAAAGGGCATTGTGATTCTCTATTTAAAAGGAAAGTCTTACCCAAAAGAAATGTGGCTGAAGCAAATACGCAAATCAGAATGTGAAAAACCAATCTGTCACAGGCTCATTAACACATTCTTGCTCTACTCCAGCCAAGCACAGCATTTCCCTCACTAACAACAAGAGCCAACAATCTCAAATCAATAAGTCAGTTAATAAGCAGTTCTCTTCATTTCCAATGGACCCACAGACAAAAAAAATTCCTTTTCTTCAGAAATATATTCAGGATAATAAAGTTGATAGTTTAGGGCATCATCTGTAATAACTGCAATCAAGATCTATCACCATTCCATGAAATATAAAATGCCAACCTACATTTGAAAACTTGTATAGAAAATGTAAAGAGTAGCAAAAGCAAGCTTTTGCTTAAAAAGATAAAGATATGTGGCTGCATAAAGAAAGGTCACAAACGTCTAGCTGTGAAGGAGGATTGGGAATGGAAATGGGAAAAAACATTATCTGTGCTTTTCCTTAATTTCTTCTTCATTCCAATCTTATCGATTTTCTTTTGTGCTCTGGTGCAAGATTCAAAAGATTTCTTTTGGATTAAATAAGGTTATAAATGATTGCCATTAAGTAATTTCTGTACTTTGGAATTATACTAACCACACGTTTAATACACAGTTACTAAACAAAGTCAGCAAAGAGATATGGTGTACTCACATTCTTTCTCTCCATGCCCACATCGATGACAAACTTGACATTCTCTATGCAAATTAAGGATTCTCCCATACTTGTGGTCAATACCACTCTCCTTTTGTACTGCTTGGAGTTCTTCTCCAACATGTCACTTGGTCCATCAACATATCTACTCTGCTCTGGGTAAAAAGGAATTGGCACTAGTGCTCCTAATATTGGGTGCAGTTTAGAACCTTCTTGTCTGATTATGTTGCAGGCCTCATCAATTTCCTGCAAATACATAAAGTGTCATATAAATTCTGATAACTCACAGCCAAAAGTATTTAAAGAAAAACTTCTGCATCCTTACATGTGATCAGAATGTTAACAATCAAACCACAAAAAAGATCCAGATTTGACCCATGGCCTGTAACACAAGACTGACTAATGTTCTAGGCCCATCAGTTTTCTTTTGGGCCTGCCCAGTTGTCATGACATTGGTGGACTTACTGGAAGACAAATAGATAGTTACCCTGCAGTGATTCTTGGTAAAAGCACATTATATATATGTGCAGATTGTGTGTAGTTATGATGCTCCATGGTCATAAAGTTTAGCAACACTTAAGGCTCACAAGAAGAGAATGGTCACTTGATAGGTTCAAGAATGCCAAAGAAATGTCTTTAATTACCCAACCTTAAAGCAGAAGGAATAGAAAGGCAACTGTAACAGAATGTGTAATTTTAATTAAATCTTTAATTAAATCTTAAAATAAATCTCAGAAGTGCTTTCTAAATCATAAGGATGAAGTTACTTGAAATAAGATTGAATGCTTTTAATGTACTGACAAGTATTGATGACATCACTAGAGCAAGACATTGGGAGAGTACCTCCTTTCATTAACTTCTAAAGGGAGTTGATACATGCAATAAACAATTAGAATCATAAAAAGGTTTTGTATTACAGTAACTACTTACAGATTACACAAATCTGTTCAATGTTACTACAGAGACTGTTAGGAGTGTACCAGTCCCAGGTCAGTCCCCAGCAAGTTCCTACTTTACCGTGACCAAGTCCTTGTGATATCACCACAGTAGGTGGTGGTTCCTGAACTCAGTTAAATACTTTCAGACACACGTGCAAAAATCTTCCTGCACGTGTTGTCTCCTCACATCCTTTTATTGTTATATATATGTTTATATAATTACAATTACCATTACCTGATCTAGCCCAACGCTTTGACTTTACAAATTCAGACACACAATTTGGAGGTTTAGCTATTCTTCCCAAAATGTTCTTGTTAGGCTTGAAAGATCTGTAGTTTGTTGTGTTAGAAGGCAGCTGACTTGAACTACCTTCTTGACAGTCTGAAGTCTGTAGTTCTGTCTTGAAGTGAAAGGTTTTTGACCTGTTGTGTTTCTTTCATGGAGGGCTTATGATATATGGCTTTTCTTTAATCGGTGACAGTGTGGCCCTGATATACCAACATTTTTTTAATGTGCTGTACCTTGGATCTTTGTACATTGTTTGTCTCTTCGTAGTTACGTCTTTCGTGCAGTTGTATGCACATCGAAATAACTGCACAAAAGCCAGTATCCCGTCACCAAGTCACCTTTTATTTACTTGTGTACAGCACACTGGCTGTGACCAGCCAGCTCAGAGTCAGTCCCCTGAACTGAGGAGATTCTAAATCTCCTGTTTATATTTCTTTTTCAATTAATATTGAGAAGCCACTTGATAGAGGTCATAAGATCATGAAAGGCCTTGTCACAATATGGTTAGAAAAAATGTTTCTACTTCTCAGCGTGTTAAAAATTAACGATCATTTAAAATAATCATTAATAAATGCAGTCAGAAACTCATGAGAAACCTCATTATCTACAGAGCAGTGAATTGGGGAAACTATTACCTAGAGGAGTGGTTGAGCTGGATGAAAAAGATACATTGAAGAGGAAGCTGGAGAAACACATCAGGGTAAAAGGAATAGAAGGAGATGCTAACAGGGTTAGAGGAAGGGGACTGGGAGGAAACTCCTGTGGAGTATAAACACCGACACAATGAATTTCCCGTCTCCGTGCTGCAACCTGTATATCTGTTTAAACCAACATGGAACACTGTATGTATCTGGATGTGAAGGGTCAATGGCAGAGCTGTCTAGAGTAAAATCAGGGTTGAAGGAGGTGGTGAAAGGGTTGGGTGAGGTGGATTTTCTCAGCATTGATTAGTTGGTAGAATTTTGGATAAGGAAGTGTTGCTCAATAGATAGAACGCATTCCCAGCTCCACTGTCTAAGTCAGAAGCTTGATATTCAAGTCCTACCCCATAACCTATTGACCGCAAAAGGAGTGTTCATGACACAGTGAAACACGGTGATAATTAGCTTGACAATCTTTTGCACATTCTTCAAATTATAAGTGAAATAACTGCACAGAGGATATTATATTGGTCAGCCAGGGCTTTCCTCATTGGACTAGGTTAACAACCCCAATCAAGGACCTGATAGTCAATGGGTCCACCTGGTTCTAATCATTACACACACCATTTGTGACAGTGGAATTTGATTTGTATTCACCTGTAGATCTCTGATGAGTTAGATATGCTTATTACTTCAACTTCCTGAATATTATGTGCTTTCTCCTCCCAACCTTGAGTGAATTATTGATGAAACCCATACTTGTTCATACCTTCAATTGTGTTAGCTAGAGACTCATCCTTACTTGATAAAAAGCTCTATTTTTATTGGGTCTTCTTCCTTGTTTGCACTTGCCCACTCCCTAATGGCAGACTTAATTTGGGTAGATATTTGTTCATTGTGGTGTGCGGCAACTTGACTCAGTTATGTTGCAAATATATGCATTGCCTATCACTGTACATCTTTGAGGTGCAGATATTTTGGTTACTGCCTCTTTGCTTACAATTCTTCCTGAATGTTATTGCCTCTTGAAATCAGAATCCTCTTTACTGAATCACAGAACTGTAATGTTACAGAAGAAGGCCATTTGGCCCACTGTACTTGCACCAACTCTGCGCATTTTGAGTGAATGTCAAACTCCTGCTTTTTCTCCATATCCCTGCTCATTGTTCCTATTTAAATAATCATCCAGTTCCCTTGCAAATGCTTCAATTGAACCTGCTTCTACCTGATTTCCAGGGAGTGCACTCCAAACCCAAACCAATCTGATTCTCACCTTGTATTTGCTTCTTTTGCAAAATGCTTTAAAACTGTGCCCTCTGGTTCTCAATGGTTTTACAAGCACAAACAGTTTCCCTCCACTTACCCTGACTAGACCCCTCCTCATTTTAACAATTTTAATCAATCTGCCCTTAGCCTTCACCTCTGAAGGGTAAACAATCCAAATTTCTCCGATCTATCCTCATAACTGATGTTGCACATTCCTGGAACTATTCTCATAAACCTCTGTTGCACTCTTACCAATACAACTTTAACTCTTCATCTTTGATAACAGTGGAAAACATATCAGCCAAACCAGTATAGTCAATCATTTATAGTTTGAAACAATTGTTTTACTCCAAACATAACTAATCAAGACTTTCTCCTTTTTGCTTTGGATCTGCATGACCTTACAGTGTTCAGCAAAATTCCTACCAGCTTTTCTTTGTTTTTTTTCTTTTTAACCTCATCCACTTTTTGAATGTGATTGAGGTCAAGAGATGTTCTACTCAGGACTGAAAGTTATTATTTGTGCAGTCTGTATAGATTTTCTGGTATTTGGTATCCCCTCTGTTGGACTGTTGCTTACAGCATACCTTCAACTTGAAGTACAATGAACCCTTCACCGTGTAGTTTAACATTTTTCAGCTATAATCAGAGTTTTGTCAACGATGGCTTGTTATCTCATAGAACTGTAACACTTACTCCCATGTCTGACTTGAAATTGTGACATGGCTAATGACAAGGATGTCTGCAAGCCAAATGTTTCATCTGATTGATTTCCCCTTGTAAACCTTTGGATTTGTCTTCTACTGGCAACTATTTCACCTCATTTATTTTGTTGTGCGGTCTTTTGCTTTCCTGTATTGTCTTCTGTTTCGACATATTTCCACACATTTTTTTGAAACTGACCTACATTCATAGAATACAAGCATTCAGTTTTAAATCTTGGCACTGTTCATGTCTCCATAGCATTGGCAAGGGCTTTATGTGTCTGACATCCATCCTACCAACTGCATTGGCCTATCTAAAGTGCCTTTTGAGGTTTTGTACCACAAGAATTCAGTAGATTCGATAGATCTCCTATGTTTTAGAAGTTTTATCCTCTCTCTTATGATTGATCTATTTTGCTTCCAGA